GGTCTGGGTTCAGGTCTGGGTTCAGGTCTGGGTTCAGGTCTGGTTCAGGTTCATGGGTTCAGGTTCAGGTTCAGGTTTCAGGTCTGGGTTCAGGTCTGGGTTCAGGTCTGGGTTCAGGTCTGGGTTCAGGTCTGGGTCTGGGTTCAGGTCTCGGGTCGGGTCTGGGTTTCTGGGTTCTGGGTTCAGGTTCAGGTCTGGGTTTCGGGTTCAGGTTCAGGTTCAGGTCTGGGTTCAGGTTCAGGTCTGGGTTCAGGTCTGGGTTCAGGTCTGGGTTCAGGTTCTCACTCAGACCTGGGGGTTTGCTGCTTGGTCCATGATCTTCAGGAGCAGAGCCTGGTCCTGGTCCCGGACTTGGTCTTTAGAGTCTCCCAAACGATCCATGAGCCCAGGAAGGACTGGAACACAACACACACACACACAAATCAAACACACAACACACAACACACGACACACACACACACACACACACAACAGAAACAGAAACACAACAGGTCAGCAGATGTTGTGTAGATGTTGTGTAGGTGTTGTGTAATGTTGTGTAGATGTTGTGTAGGTGTTGTGTAGATGTTGTGTAGATGTTGTGTAGGTGTTGTGTAGGTGTTGTGTAGGTGTTGTGTAGATGTTGTGTAGGTGTTGTGTAGGTGTTGTGTAGATGTTGTGTAGATGTTGTGTAGATGTTGTGTAGGTGTTGTGTAGATGTTGTGAGTGTTGTGTTGTGTAGTGTTGTGTAGATGTGTTGTGTAGTGTGTGTAGGTGTTGTGTAGTGTTGTGTAGTGTGTGTGTGTAGATGTTGTGTAGTGTGTGTGTGGATGTTGTGTGATGTTGTGTGATGTGTTGTGTAGGTGTTGTGTAGATGTTGTGTATGTTGTGTATGTTGTGTAGAGTTGTGTGATGTTGTGTAGATGTTGTGTAGTGTGTTGTGTAGATGTTGTGTAGGTGTTGTGTAGGTGTTGTGTATGTTGTGTATGTTGTGTATGTTGTGTAGTGTTGTGTGATGTGTAGTGTGTGTGTGTTGTGTGTTGTGTATGTTGTGTGTTGTGTAGATGTTGTTGTGTAGGTGTTGTGTAGTGTTTGTGTAGATGTTGTGTAGATGTGTTGTGTATGTTGTGTAGTTGTGTGTGTGTGTATGTTGTGTAGTAGATGTTGTGTAGGTGTTGTGTAGATGTTGTGTAGATGTTGTGTAGTTGTGTGTGTGTTGTGTAGGTGTTGTGTAGATGTTGTGTAGGTGTTGTGTATGTTGTTGTGTAGATGTTGTGTAGTGTTGTGATGTTGTGTAGATGTTTGTGTAGGTGTTGTGTGGTGTGTTGTGTAGATGTTGTGTAGATGTTGTGTAGTGTTGTGTATGTTGTGTATGTTGTGTAGATGTTGTGTAGGTGTTGTGTAGGTGTTTGTGTAGGTGTTGTGTAGTGTTGTGTAGGTGTTGTGTAGGTTGTGTGTTGTGTGTATGTTGTGTATGTTGTGTATGTTGTGTAGGTGTTGTGTAGTGTTGTGTAGGTGTTGTGTAGGTGTTGTGTAGATGTTGTGTAGATGTTGTGTAGGTGTTGTGTAGGTGTTGTGTAGATGTTGTGTAGGTGTTGTGTAGGTGTTGTGTAGGTGTTGTGTAGGTGTTGTGTAGATGTTGTGTAGATGTTGTGTTTTTTGTGTTACCGGTGGCGACTTGAGTTCTGAAGGATTCCTGAAGACGAGAAACGAGAGCAGAGAGAATATCCATCCCCAAAAGAACCACCTGAAACACACACACAACAGTCTTTATAACACACACACACACACACACACACACACACACACACACACACACACACACACACACACACACACACACACACACTAAACCAGGACTAAACACTACACCAGTCCCAGGCTAAACCAGGACTAAAACTAAACCAGGTCTAAACCAGGTCTAAACCAGGAGGTCTAAACCAGGAGGTCTAAACCAGGTCTAAACCCGGACTAAACCACTAAACCAGGTCTAAACCAGGTCTAAACCAGGTCTAAACCAGGTCTAAACCCTAAACCAGGTCTAAAACCAGGACTAAACCAGGTCTAAACCAGGTCTAAACCAGGACTAAACCAGGACTAAACCAGGACTAAACCAGGTCTAAACCAGGAATAAACCAGGAATAAACCAGGTCTAAACCAGTGGCAGTAGTTCAGTTGGTGGAGCGTTCGCCCACTGATCTGAAGGTTGGTGGTTTGATTCCAGCTCTCAACATAAACATCTTAGGTTGAGCGGTCAGATCCACTGACCCACAGGTTGCTGGTGTGATTCCAGCTCCCACAGATGAATGCTGCTGTTGTGTCCTTGGGCAAGACACTTAACCCACCTTGCCCACAGTGTCTGTGTACACTGGTGTGTGAATTGGTGAGTGGTTCCTTGTTGTAAAGCGCTTTGAGTGCCTTGCTATAGAAAAATGTGACCATTTACCGTCTAAACCAGGTCTAAACCAGGTCTAAACCAGGTCTAAACCAGGTCTAAACCAGGTCTAAACCAGGTCTAAACCAGGTCTAAACCAGGTCTAAACCAGGTCTTAAACAGGACTCGAGTAAAGATTACAGGAGTCTCGTCTCTCAGTGTTTGTCATTCACAGGAGCAGGAGTCTCATGTGACCGAGCAGCAGCCAATCAGAGCTCAGCGTGTGAAACGAGGTCGAGTCTAATTTTACCGGCGCCTCGTTTCCTGTTCGTCCGGACACACTTCCTGTCCCACTCCAGAGACCGACCACGCTCCAGAAAAAACCCCAAACACTCCAGAAAAAACACAGAAACACTCCAGAAACCACACACACCAGGAACACACTCCAGGAAAACACACCTGGTCTAGACCTGGTTTAGACCTGGTTTAGACCTGGTCTAGACCTGGTTTAGACCTGGTTTAGACTTGGTTTAGTCCTGGTTTAGTCCTGGTTTAGTCCTGGTTTAGACCTGGTTTAGTCCTGGTTTAGTCCTCGTTTAGACCTGGTTTAGTCCTGGTTTAGTCCTGGTTTAGACCTGGTTTAGACCTGGTTTAGACCTGGTTTAGACCTGGTTTAGACCTGATTTAGACCTGGTTTAGACCTGATTTAGACCTGATTTAGACCTGGTTCAGATTGATTTAGGAGCATGTCTGTGGTCACGAGCTGAGGAAGAGGAGGAGGAGGAGGAGGAAGAGGAAGAGGAGGAGATTGAGGAAGTGTGGACAGATAATCGATGTTGAGCTGTGAAATTTCAGGTCAGACTCAGAGAAACGACAGAGACAAACAACAAGACAAACAGACAAACGACAGAAGCATAAATAAACCTGAAGGACCAAACACAAACTCAGACTCAGATCTGTTTAATGATCCTGATCTGTCCAGACAACTCACCCTTATGGACCAGATAATACTCCCTACGACTGTCCTGTCAATCATCACATCACTGTTGCACGGTTTTCCTCTTGTATAAAGCTGTGATTTTATACTTTATTACTTATTTTTCTATTTTATTTTGACTTAAATTCATAGTTCTGGAGCGGCAACAGAGGAACTACATTTCCCATGATCCTTTGCTCCATTTCAGAGCAGACGACAAGAAGAAATAACAGTTCTAACACTTTTAACTCTCAGTTCTTTGGATTAAATCTTGTTGAGGCATTTGACGAGGAAAAAGAAGCATTATTCACAATTTTGTTCACCTCCACAAAATATCGCAATAAATATCGTAGCGTGAGATTTGGATATCGTTACATCTCTAGTGGATCAATAAAGAATGTCTAAGTTTAAGTCTAATGATCTGAGGCATGGATCTGGACCATGAACCTCAGATCTCATCAAACTGTTTTCAATGATCTGTGCTCATTGGTGCGAAATCCCAAAAAATGTTTTTTTTTCTTCCACATGACTTCCTGAATACTGTCCCAGCCCCGCCCACTGTGTGACGTCAGAAAGGTGCAGTTCTGACCAATCAGAGTGAAGCTGGTGCTGGGGCGGAGCCAGCGTGGAACGAACGTTTAAACACTTTGACGGTTTAAAAATGTTAAATGTCATGAACCACACGGCCCCACAAAGTCACGACGACGTCACATCAGGTTTGGTCCAGATGAGTTCATGTGATGTTTGTATTTGACACTTATTTTAACATGAGAATAAATATCCTGATAAACACTGAATAATCATTTACAGAATATAAGAGACAAAAAGCAGGAGCAGTGTCAGTTACTGCACGACTCCTTTTATTTTATAATTTGTGAAGTTTGAGGGACTGGACACCAGCACATCCACAACAAGACACACATAATAAAATAAATATAAATAACTAAATATAAAACACACGACGCCTTATTTTAGTCTCATGATAAAAACAGAAGAGGAACAGACAAATCAGGTCAAAGACACATTTGAGCTCAATATTTGTCACACATAAATATTTCTTCATTAGAGTGAATATTGTCTCTGTCTGTTCTACTTTTGTCTGGACAAACATTAAAGTGATTTTTTTCAGTTTGACTCTGGAGATTTAAACTCTTTTCACTTTGTGGGGCAGAATTCTTCAGTTCTTATTATAAATGTTCAGACTCTTCACTCTGACGTCAACAGAACAGAACAGAACAGAACCGTCTGAAGTGCGTCTGTCTGAGCCGATGTTTGTTTTGGTTGGTTTGGCTCCGCCCCCACGCCACGGCGCTGCTCTGTGATTGGTCAGACTCTTGGGCCGTAAACATTTCAACTGAACAAGACGAAGACTCGACAAAAATCACAAGAGTTCAACTTTGTTTGGTTCTACAACTGTGACACAACAGAACTCCAAGGAACCAGGTAGACCTGATTTATAGACCTGGTTTAGACCTGGTTTAGTCCTTGTTTATTCCTGCTTTGGTCCTTCTTTAGTCTTGATTTGGCCCCTGGTTCAGTCCTTCTGTAGTCCTGGTTTCGTCTTGGTTCAGTCCTGGTTTAGTCCTGGTTTAGTCCTGGTTTAGTCCTGGTTCAGTCCTGGTTTAGTCCTGGTTCAGTCCTGGTTCAGTCCTGGTTTAGTCCTGGTTTAGTCCTGGTTCAGTCCTGGTTTAGTCCTGGTTCAGTCCTGGTTCAGTCCTGGTTCAGTCCTGGTTCAGTCCTGGTTCAGTCCTGGTTCAGTCCTGGTTCAGTCCTGGTCTTTTACCTTAAAGTTGTTGTCGTTGACCCAGGAGCAGACCACAGTGTCCATGATCCGGTCCATGGCGCTCTGGTCCAGTTCCAGACCCGGACTCTTCTGTGGGTCCAGGATCCGGTCTATGATCTCCAGTCCGGTCTGAGTCCTGGTCCCGGGGTCCTTCTGCATCACCAGGTCCAGCAGCCCCTCCACAGACGCCTCCACAGACGCCTCCTCCTTCTGCTCGTCCCTCTGCTCCTCCTCCTCCTGCTCCATCGCTCGGTCTGCGCACAGAACAAACGGAAAAAATAAATCATTCTAATTTACAATTTTAATATTTACGATTCAGTTCAGAGTTTCACATTTTAAACACGTCCAGAAGAATCGACAAAAAGACTCAAATCTGAAGTGAAAAACTGACACAAGAATCACGTTTCAGAACATTTTTGTGCAGATCTGAACCACAGGGCGACTCGGGGAGGGCATCTGACACATCCTCAACACACTCGGCTTCACCCTGAGCGGAGGCAGGTGCAGCTGAGACTGACAGGTGAGACTGACAGGTGCATCTGATGGAGCTGTCAGGTGCAGATGTTTACGGTTCAGATCTGTGGCTCCTGGAACTTTCCACAGCAAACAAAAACAGACACAAAGTTCAGACTCTTCAGTCACCAGAAGTGAACGAAGTCCTGTTTAGTTTAGTCCTGGTTTAGTCCTGGTTCAGTCCTGGTTCAGTCCTGGTTCAGTCCTGGTTCAGTCCTGGTTAGTCCTGGTTCAGTCCTGGTTTAGTCCTGTTTAGTCCTGGTTTAGTCCTGTTTAGTCCTGGGTTTAGTCCTGGTGGTTAGTCCTAGTCCTGGTTTCAGTCCTGGTTTAGTCCTGGTTTAGTCCTTGTTCAGTCCTGGTTTAAACCTGGTTTAGTCCTGGTTTCAGTCCTGGTTCAGTCCTGGTTCAGTTCCTGGTTTAGTCCTGGTTTTAGTCCTGGTTCAGTCCTGGTTTAGTCCTGGTTTAGTCCTGTTTAGTCCTGGTTCAGTCCTGGTTCAGTCCTGGTTCTAGTCCTGGTTCAGTCCTGGTTCAGTCCTGGTTCAGTCCTGGTTCAGTCCTGGTTAGTCCTGGTTCAGTTCAGTCCTGGTTCAGTCCTGGTTTAGTCCTGGTTCAGTCCTGGTTTAGTCCTGTTTTAGTCCTGGTTCAGTCCTGGTTCAGTCCTGGTTTAGTCCTGGTTCAGTCCTGGTTTAAACCTGGTTTAGTCCTGTTAAACTAACACAGTTGTTTCTAAAAGTGGAGCTGGTGTTTAACCCAAAGACGTGAGTGAGATTAAAATAAATTTTGTCTGAACCTGAGTTTCATCTGAGAGGATTTTGAACCAGAACATTCATGAACGAGAAGGAGAAACATCTGAGGAGCACGAGTTTGTTGAGTTCTGAGTTTGTTCTAGAGCAGGAGTCTCCAACCTGCAGCTCCACCTCCTCACGAGTCACTCACCAGGGAGTTTCTCATTTACTTTTGTCCTGAATAAATCAAATCTGATGAATTTTAATCCTTTTCCCATCAGTTTGATCCTGAACATTGTTCAGTGATAAAACGATAATGTTTATTTTAAACTGTGGGAATAAAACTGTTCCTCATCTGAGACCGAAGCTCTGAGATTTACTCAAGATCTCATCCTTCTCTTCTTCTGACTCGGGTGTGTGTTCTTCTGACTCGGGTGTGTGTTCTTCTGACTCGGGTGTGTGTTCTTCTGACACGGGTGTGTGTTCTTCTGACTCGGGTGTGTGTTCTTCTGACTCGGGTGTGTGTTCTTCTGACTCGGGTGTGTGTTCTTCTGACACAGGTGTGTGTGTGTGTGTGTTCTTCTGACTCAGGGGTGTGTGTTCTTCTGACACGGGTGTGTGTTCTTCTGACTCGGGTGTGTGTTCTTCTGACTCGGGTGTGTGTTCTTCTGACTCGGGTGTGTGTTCTTCTGACTCGGGTGTGTGTTCTTCTGACTCAGGTGTGTGTTCTTCTGACTCGGGTGTGTGTTCTTCTGACTCGGGTGTGTGTTCTTCTGACTCAGGTGTGTGTTCTTCTGACTCGGGTGTGTGTTCTTCTGACTCGGGTGTGTGTTCTTCTGACTCGGGTGTGTGTTCTTCTGACTCAGGTGTGTGTTCTTCTGACTCAGGTGTGTGTTCTTCTGACTCAGGTGTGTGTTCTTCTGACTCAGGTGTGTGTTCTTCTGACACAGGTGTGTGTTCTTCTGACTCAGGTGTGTGTTCTTCTGACTCAGGTGTGTGTTCTTCTGACTCAGGTGTGTGTTCTTCTGACACAGGTGTGTGTTCTTCTGACTCGGGTGTGTGTTCTTCTGACACAGGTGTGTGTTCTTCTGACTCGGGTGTGTGTTCTTCTGACACAGGTGTGTGTTCTTCTTACACGGGTGTGTGTTCTTCTGACACGGGTGTGTGTTCTTCTGACTCGGGTGTGTGTTCTTCTGACTCAGTGTGTGTTTTCTGACAGGTGTGTGTTCTTCTGACTCTGACTCGGGTGTGTGTTCTTCTGACTCGGGTGTGTGTTCTTCTGACACAGGTGTGTGTTCTTCTGACACAGGTGTGTGTTCTTCTGACTCGGGTGTGTGTTCTTCTGACACAGGTGTGTGTTCTTCTGACTGTGTGTGTCTTCTGACTCGGGTGTGTGTTCTTCTGACTCAGGTGTGTGTTCTTCTGACTCAGGTGTGTGTTCTTCTGACTCGGGTGTGTGTTCTTCTGACACAGGTGTGTGTTCTTCTGACTCGGGTGTGTGTTCTTCTGACTCGGGTGTGTGATGTTTGTGCTGACCTTTTAACTGTTTCTTTAGATGTTCTTGCAGATGGAGATAAAATCATCCTGACAGTGAGTCTGGTCCTGACCAGGTTTGTTTCTGCAGTGACTCAGGTCACTTCTGGTCGGTCACGTTGGTAAAACTGAGGTTTTGATGAACCTGGATTGGCCAAATAAGTCAAACTTTACCTTTAACCTTAACTCGCTTCATGAAAAACTCCCAGGTTTCCTTTTCCAGATGATTCTACTGAAGCTGTGTGGAGTTTAAAAACACAGTGGAGCACCACATGATGACATCACAAGGTGGGACAGAGTGTTTTCAGTTATAAATGTGCAGGTTTGTGAGTTTAAACGTGTGAATGAAACAAAACAAAAGTCCAGGTGTGTGACACAAACCTGTAGTTGTGAGTCAGACTCTGAGGTTCAGGACGACGTTTCTTTCAGATCCACAGTTTAAATGTGACGTTTGAGTTTTTATTTGTTGTTTCTTGGTGAGAGTTTGGACGAGGAAGAGGAGGAAGAGGAGGAAGAGGAGGAAGAGGAGGAAGAGGAGGAAGAGGAGATCAGGGGGAGGAGCTCCGCACGATGAAGAGACTGTGAACACGTCATGGTCCAAACTGAGATTCTGTTAAAATAAAGAAAATAATCTGAGTTTAGAAACATTAAAGTTTGAGAATTTAAATGTAAAAACAGAGATTATAAATATTGAGATCAAACACAGAGCCGCTGTGTGTGTGTGTGTGTGTGTGTGTGTGTGTGTGTGTGTGTGTGTGTGTGTGTGTGTGTGTGTGTGTGTGTGTGTGTGTGTGTGTTGTGTGTGTGTGTGTTTGTGTGTGTGTGTGTGTGTGTGTGTGTGTGTGTTGTTTGTGTGTGTTGTGTGTGTTGTGTGTGTGTGTGTGTGTGTGTTGTGTGTGTGTGTGTGTGTGTGTGTGTGTGTGTTGTGTGTGTGTGTGTGTGTGTGTGTGTGTGTGTTGTGTGTGTGTGTGTGTTTGTGTGTGTGTGTGTGTGTGTGTGTGTGTGTGTGTGTGTGTGTGTGTGTGTGTGTGTTGTGTGTGTGTTGTGTGTGTGTGTGTGTGTGTGTGTGTGTGTGTGTGTTGTGTGTGTGTGTGTGTGTTGTGTGTGTGTGTGTGTGTGTGTGTGTTTGTGTGTGTGTTTGTACAGATAAATTTAAAATACATTAAAATCACATTTACACAAATATCAGTGTTTAGAATCAGAATCATGTGGAGAAAAAAATTATTTTAATTAAACAAACATGAAAATTTCAAACTGACAGAAAAAACTAAATAAAACCACAATAATCATACAGTAATAAACCAGGACTAAACCAGGACTAAACCAGGACTAAACCAGGACTAAACCAGGACTAAACCAGGACTAAAACCAAACTAAACTAAACCAGGACTAAACCAGGGACTAAACAGGACTAAACCAGGACTAAACCAGGACTAAACCAGGACTAAACCAGGACTAAACCAGGACTAAACCAGGTCTAAACCAGGTCTTAAACCAGGACTAAACCAGGACTAAACCAGGACTCTCTAAACAAAAACACCAGGACTAAACCAGGACTAACCAGGACTAAACCAGGACTAAACCAGGTCTAAACCAGGACTAAACCAGGTCTAAACCAGGACTCTAAACCAGGACTAAAACTAAACCAGGACTAAACCAGGACTAAACCAGGTTCTAAACCAGGTCTAAACCAGGACTAAACTAAAGGACTAAACCAGGTCTAAACCAGGTCTAAACAGGACTAAACCAGGACTAAACCAGGTCTAAACACCAGGACTAAAACAGGACTAAACCAGGACTAAACCAGGACTAAACCAGGTCTAAACCAGGACTAAACCAGGTCTAAACCAGGACTAAACCAGGACTAAACCAGGTCTAATCAAGCCCCGGGTTAGGGGGCAGGACAGGTCTGTTCTCTCGAGGTCTTTTCTCGGCATAAACATGATTTCGTTTATATTTCGTTTTATTTTAAATCATATTTTCAGTTAAAGGCGCTAAACTGAAGCTAAAGGCTAAATTAGCACGATGATTGGCGGTGCACGCGCGGCTGCTGACGCCGCTGATTGGCTGATCATTGATCCGTTATCGATCCGGATGCCCTCCCCAGAATCCTCCCAGAATCTCACCCAATCTGCGCCTTTTTCTGCGTCTTTTTCTTCGGGTTTGGTCCTGAACGCTCCGCAGACGCTCCCGACACGCTCCAGAGACGCTCCCGAGACGCTCCTGAGACGCTCCTGAGACGCGCCGCACAGTCTGGATTTACGGCATGTTTCAGAAGACGCAGGGGTTTTTACGGCACGTTTCAGTAGATTCGGGTTTTTACGGCATGTTTCAGGAGCCTCGGCTTCAGGACGGACACCAGGCGCGACCCCGCGGCGACAAAAGGCGAAGCGGATTCATGCAGATGTGCGAAACAAAAACTAAACCAAATAAACAGGAACTAAACCAGGACTAAACCAGAATAAACCAGGACTAAACTAGGAACAACCAGAACTAAACCAGGTCTAACCAGAACTAAACCAGAACTAACCAGGACTGAAACCAGAACCTAAACAGAACTAAACCAAAACCAGGACTGAACCAGGACTAAACAGGTCTAAACAGACTAAACCAGGACTAACCAGAACTAAACCAGATAAACCAGGAACTAAACCAGAACTAAACCAGGACTAAACCAGGACTAAACCAGAGACTTAAACCAGACTAAACCAGAACTAAACCAGGACTAAACCAGAACTAAACCAGGTCTAAACCAGGTAAACCCTAAACAGGACTAAACCAGGACTAAACCAGACTAAACCAGGACTAAACCAGACTAAACCAGTTAAACCAGGTCTAATCCAGGTCTCAGTCCTCTGCTCCTCTTCTCTTCTGTTGTGTCAGGTGCAGATGACAGGTGCCTGTTCAGAGCACCTGTCCCTCTGACTCTGCTCCTGACACAGACCCAGACCTGGACCCAGACCTGGACTCAGACCTGGACTCAGACCTGGACTCAGACTTTGCACAAACTCATTTCTAAAGTTTAAATTGAAAAGTTAGAAGTTTATTTTTTATTATTTCTTTTTTGGTGATGATGTCGACTAAAACGATTCACTTCGTGGTCGACGGTCGACAGGAAACGGCCGAGTTTGGACCCGACTGCTCCGACGCCGAGGTCAAAGGTCACGACACTTTTATTTATGTTTCATGTTTTACTAAAATCTGGAGGCGACGAGTTTGAGTTTAGACCTGGTTTAGTCCTGGTTTAGTCCTGGTTTAGACCTGGTTTAAGACCTGGTTAGACCTGGTTTAGTTCCTGGTTTGTTAGACCTGGTTTAGACCTGGTTTACCCTGGTTAGTCCTGGTTTAGACCTGGTTTAGTCCCTGGTTTAGAGTCCTGGTTTCCTGGTTTAGTCCTGGTTTAGACCTGGTTTAGTCCTGGTTTAGTCCTGGTTTTAGACCTGGTTTAGACCTGGTTTAGTCCTGGTTTAGAGTCCTGGTTTAGACCTGGTTTAGTCCTGGTTTAGTTTTACCTGGTTTAGTCCTGGTTTAGACCTGGTTTAGTCCCTGGTTTAGTCCTGGTTTAGACCTGGTTTAGACCTGGTTAGACCTGGTTTAGACCTGGTTTAGTCCTGGTTTAGTCCTGGTTTAGACCTGGTTTAGTCCTGGTTAGTCCAAGTCCTGGGTGGTCTGGTTTAGTCCTTTGGTTTAGTCCTGGTTTAGAAGAACCCCAGTCTTGAGTCCTTGGTTAAAGAACCTGTCCTTTAGTCTTGGTCCAGTCCTGGTCAGTCCCGGTCCACTGGTCCAGTCCTGGTCCAGTCCTGGTCCAGTCCTGGTCCAGTCCTGGTCCAGTCCTGGTCCAGTCCTGGTTGTCCAGTCCTGGTCAGTCCTGGTCCAGTCCTGGTCCAGTCCTGGTCCAGTCCTGGTCCAGTCCTGGTCCAGTCCTGGTCCAGTCCTGGTCCAGTCCTGGTCTAGTCTTGGTCCAGTCCTGGTCCAGTCCTGGTCCAGTCCTGGTCCAGTCCTGGTCCAGTCCTGGTCCAGTCCTGGTCTAGTCGTGGTCTTGTTCTCAGACTTGTTCCTGGCGGCGGCTGAAGTTGGTCCTGAAAACATCCTGAAGCTCTTCAGCTCCGACGGTCGAGTCCTGAAGATCTGCTCCAACCTCCAAGAGAACGACCAGAGCTCCTCCTACAGGCTCCAGCTCGCCTCTGACCCCCGTGAGACCAAGACCAGGACCAGGACCAGGACTAAACCAGGACTAAACCACCAGAGCGCCCCCTACAGGCTCCAGCTCGCCTCCCACCCCTGTGAGACCAAGACCAGGACTAAACCAGGACTAAACCAGGACTAAACCACCAGAGCGCCCCCTACAGGCTGCAGCTCGCCTCCCACCCCTGTGAGACCAAGACCAGGACCAGGACTAAACCAGGACTAAACCAGGACTAAACCACCAGAGCGCCCCTACAGGCTCCAGCTCGCCTCCCACCCCTGTGAGACCAAGACCAGGACCAGGACCAGGACTAAACCAGGACTAAACACACCAGAGCGCCCCCTACAGGCTCCAGCTCGCCTCCCACCCCTGTGAGACCAAGACCAGGACCAGGACCAGGACTAAACCAGGACTAAACCACCAGAGCGCCCCCTACAGGCTCCAGCTCGCCTCCCACCCCTGTGAGACCAAGACCAGGACCAGGACCAGGACTAAACCAGGACTAAACCAGAACCAGGACTGAAACAGGACTAAACCAGGACTGAACCACATCTGGTCCGTGTCTGGGTCTGGTCCAGGTCTAGTTCTGGGTTCTGGTCCAGGTCCTGGTTTAGTTCTGTGCTGGTCCTGATGTTGCAGGCGTTGCCGTGCCGACACAGCTGGTTGCCATGGAGACGAGGCTGCAGCAGCTGGAGGCTCGAGTGATGGAGCTGAGCCGAAGTCCAGACCTGATCCAAGACCTGGACCGAGACGTGGAGGGATTCAAGACCAAACTACAGGTACAAGTACAAGTACTACGAATACTACTACTACTACTACTACTAGAGGTACAAGTACAAGTACTATGAATACTACAAATACTACGAATACTAGTACTACTACTACTACTACTACTACTACTACTACATATACTACATATACTACTATAGGTACTTTTACTGCAAATACTACATATACTACTAGTACTAGTACTACTGATACTACTTCAGATAAATATATTATAAATACTTTCTGTACATTTGTGTCAAACTGAATCTCGATCGATTCAGAATAAATTCAACTTTTGATCTGAATTTCATCGTTTCTTTTCCACATCAACAAAACAAAGTGTTTTTATGAACATTTATTCACCAAATTAAACACAAATATTTAAATATACATTTGTAAACGAGCTCAGGTCGACTCGAGTCTGAACGTCTGAGATCAGGAAAAACGTTCAGAGTTTTTAAAGTTCAGTGTTGAGTTTAAAGTGACGAGTGAAGTGGTTCTGATCCAGGTCCAGGTCCTGGACCGAGGTCACATGATCCAAACATCTCCAGGAGCGGCTCCGAGCGGCTCCGAGGACATTTTTACATTTGGAAAAATATAAAACGTCAGAAAAACTGAACGTCCTGGATCAGACCTGGTCCAGTCCTGTTTTAGTCCTGTTTTAGTCCTGGTCCAGTCCTGTTTTAGTCCTGGTCCAGTCCTGGTCCAGTCCTGGTCCTGGTCCAGTCCTGGTCCTGGTCCAGTCCTGGTCCAGTCCTGGTCCAGTCCTGGTCCAGTCCTGGTCCAGTCCTGGTCCAGTCCTGGTCCAGTCCTGTTTTAGTCCAGTCCTGGTCCAGTCCAGTCCTGGTCCAGTCCTGGTCCTGGTCCAGTCCTGGTCCAGTCCTGGTCCAGTCCTGGTCCAGTCCTGGTTCAGTTCTGTTTGTTCTTCAGACGGTGGAGCACTTGAGCTGGTTGGGTTTGTTCAGAGACACAGAGACGTTCATCCAGAAAACCAGAGCCAGACTCATGAGCGCGCACGAGGGGCCCGGGAGCGCGCACGAGGGGCCCGGGAGCGCGCACACGAGGGGCCGGGAGCGCGCACGAGGGGCCCGGGAGCGCGCACGAGGAGCGTCAGAGAGTCCGGAGCGCCTTTCTCAACATGAGGTTCTTCTAACCCCACCACACTCTGGTCTGTGTCTGTGTCTGTGTCTGTGTCTGTGTCTCTGTGTCTGTGTCGTCTGTGTCTGTGTCTCTGTGTCTCTGTGTCTGTGTCTCTGTGTCTGTGTCTGTGTCTGTGTCTCTGTGTCTGTGTCTCTGTGTCTGTGTCTCTGTGTCTCTGTGTCTGTGTCTCTGTGTCTGTGTCTGTGTCTGTGTCTGTGTCTGTGTCTGTGTGTGTGTCTGTGTCTGTGTCTGTGTCTGTGTCTGTGTCTGTGTGTCTGTGTCTCTGTGTCTGTGTCTGTGTCTGTGTCTCTGTGTCTGTGTCTCTGTGTCTGTGTCTGTGTGTCTGTGTCTGTGCTCTGTGTCTCTGTGTCTCTGTGTCTGTGTCTGTGTCTGTGTCTGTGTCTCTGGTGTGTCTGTGTCTCTGTGTCTGTGTCTGTGTCTGTGTCTGTGTGTCTCTGTGTGTCTCTGTGTGTCTGTGTCTGTCTGTCTCTGTGTGTCTCTGTGTCTGTGTCTGTCTGTGTCTGTGTCTCTGTGTCTGTGTCTGTGTCTCTGTGTCTGTGTCTGTGTGTCTGTGTCTGTGTCTGTGTCTCTGTGTCTCTGTGTCTGTGTCTGTCTGTGTCTGTGTCTCTGTCTGCAGCTCGTCCACACACTCGGGGCTGTGGCGCTAACACGAGGCACTGCTCCGTCTAAAGGCCTGTTCATATTTCGCACCAGGTTTATTTGTTTCCTCGTCGATAATCAAGAAAAAAAAAGGATGGTTTTGAGCGACAGATGGAGGAAAAGGAGATAAAATAGAAACATGTGAACGACACGACGCTCAGGGACGAGAAAGACACAAACGACGACATTTTACTCAACGGAAATCAGTGTAGAAAAAGTCTGGAGGAAATCTCCACAACAAGTTTACAAAAGACAAAAGAGTCACCAAAAAATTAAATAAAGAGCAGTAAAAGCGAGGGGCGGGTCCAGGGGGCGGGTCCAGGGGGGATCCAGGGGGAGGGTCCAGGGGGCGGTCCAGGGGGCGGGCCCAGGGGGGGTCCAGGGGAGGATCCAGGGGCGGGTCCAGGGGCGGGTCCAGGGGGCGGGTCCAGGGGGCGGATCCAGGGGGCGGTCCAGGGGGCGGGTCCAGGGGGCGGATCCAGGGGCGGGGCGGGTCCAGGGGCGGGTCCAGGGGCGGGGAAGTTCAGCAGCAGAACATCTTTTGAAGTATCAGCGTCAGAGCCCAAAGTTCTTCTGAAATATGAATCGGCCTTTAGACTTTCATCTGACCATAAAGACCTGACTGACCTGAGCTGGGCTGTTAAAACTGTTTTGTCTGTGTTTGTTTTGTGTTTGTGGACGTGTTTGCTGTGTGTCTCCATGGTAACCGCTGAACATTCCACCATAGACACACATGTATGTCACTGCAGAGGATCTGTAAAAAAGTTCTGTAAAGTTTTTTTTCCCTCTTGTGCCGCCGTAGCTCCCTGCAGGTGAGCGAAGACGTCCGAGAACATCTCAAGACTCCAATGTTTGACAACTGGTGAGTACAGGACCAAACCAGGACCAAACCAGGACTAAACCAGGACTAAACCAGGACCAAACCAGGACCAAACCAGGACCAAACCAGGACCGAACCAGGACCGAACCAGGACCAAACCAGGAACGAACCAGGATTAAACCAGGACTAAACCAAGACTACAGCAGGACTGAACCAGGACTAAACCAGGTCTAATCCAGCCCTTCCTTTTGTTGTTTTTCATGTGTTCAATTTTGGTTTTGTGATTAAATCTTTTTGTTTTTTTATTTATTTAATGTATTTGTGGCTGTGTGAGTCCTTGCTCCTGATTGGTGGACTGTGTTCCCACCTGTCTCTGATTGGCTGCTGTGTTTTGTCCTCTGATTGGTGCATTGATCTCCCGCCCAACCAATCCCCTGTCACCCCTGCTTTCTCCTCTGTTTCAGGAAGTGATGATTTGTAGTTTTTGTGGGTTTGTAGTTTATTTGGTAATTTTACGAGTTTATTTTGTGTAAATCTGGTTTTGTTGTTTTGTCCCAGTTCAGATTTGAGCTTTTCATTAAATTACAATTTTATTTACATATTTTAACATCTTGGTTTTTGAGGGGTTTTTCCTCTGACCTGGTCCAGTCCTGGTCCTGATCCAGGTCCTGGTCCTGGTCCAGTCCTGGGCTCTGGTTCGGTCTCAGTCTTGGTTTAGTCTTAATCCTGGTCTCTGGCCTTAGTTCTGGCTTTAGTCTTGGTCTTAGTACCGGTGTCTGCTCCGGTCTAAGCCTTGGTCCTGCTCTCTGGTCTGATCTAAGTCTTGGTCTCGGTCTGGTTTAAGTCTTGGTCTTGGTTTCTGGTCCAGTCTAAGTTTTAGTCCTGGTCTCTGATCTGGTCTAAGTTTTGGTCCTGGTGTCTGGTCTCTGGTCTAAGTCCTGGTCCTGGTCTTGGTCTGGGTCTAGGCAGTGGGAGGAGGCAGAGATGTTGGTCCTGATTTAGTCCTGGTCTTGGTCTCTGGTCTGGTCTAAGTCTTGGTCCTGGTCTGGGTCTTGGTCTAGGCAGTGGGAGGAGGCAGAGATGTTGGTCCTGATCCAGACCATGTTCGAGGACTTGGACTTGGTGTCCGAGTTCCAGATGGAGACCAGAGTCCTGCAGAACTTCCTCCTGGAGGTTCACGCGCACTACAACCACATCTCCTTCCACAACTTCCACCACTGCTTCTGCGTCACTCAGATGGTACGAGTACTACAAATACTACAAATACTACTACTACTACAACAAATACGACTACTACTACTACTGCAAATACTACAACAAATACTACAAACAATACAACTACAACCACATCTCCTTCCACAGTTGCTTCTGCATCACACAGATGGTACCACAACTTTTACTACAAATACTACAAGTACTACTAATACTACTACTGCAAATAGTACAAAAACTACTTCTACTGCAAATACTTTTGGTCCTGCGTCAGATTCTTCGGTGTCTGTGGTTCAGGGGTGGAGTTCGTGGGCGGGAGGTTGTTGGTTTGAGTCCCACAGGTTCAGGTGGATCTGGACTGAGCCTCGTTTCCAGTCGCACCAGAATCTTTGACCAAACTGTTTTAATAAAGTTCATTTTAGACGTTAAAAGTGAGAATCGAACCCAGAACCTCAGAACAGACGGATCCAGACCTCTGTGTTTGTGCCTCTGAGCCACACACTGCAGGTCGTGTCTGGTTCTTAGTCACATTACTGGATTCTGGGACAGTTTGATGTTTTCTTCTCACGTTTGGAGACTCGAGTTCAGGTCCTTGTGGTTCAGGTCAGACTCAGGTCCACAGGTTCTGGGTTCAGATCCTTCTTCTCCACAGTCGTCATTATAAAACCAAAACTCAATATTTCACGAGCACAGAACATGATCCTGGATTTGAACCCACAACCTGAGTCCAGCAGGAGCCTCAGTCTGAGCAGATGAACCCAGAACCACAAGGTCACAGGTTCAAGTCTCAGTCAGAAGGATTTAGACTCAAACTTCTACTGCTGTTACACACTGTGATGTCACTTCCTGTAGACGTTACACTCTGTGATGTCACTTCCTGTAGACGTTACACTCTGTGATGTCACTTCCTGTAGACGTTACATGTTGTGATGTCACTTCCTGTAGACGTTACATGTTGTGATGTCACTTCCTGTAGACGTTACATGTCTGTGATGTCACTTCCTGTAGATGTTACATGTTGTGATGTCACTTCCTGTAGACGTTACATGTTGTGATGTCACTTCCTGTAGACGTTACATGTTGTGATGTCACTTCCTGTAGACGTTACATGTTGTGATGTCACTTCCTGTAGATGTTACATGTTGTGATGTCACTTCCTGTAGACGTTACATGTTGTGATGTCACTTCCTGTAGACGTTACATGTTGTGATGTCACTTCCTGTAGACGTTACATGTTGTGATGTCACTTCCTGTAGATGTTACATGTTGTGATGTCACTTCCTGTGGATGTTACATGTTGTGATGTCACTTCCTGTAGACGTTACACTCTGTGATGTCACTTCCTGTAGATGTACGGTCTGATGTGGCTGACCGAGCTCCGGACCAAACTGAGCCGGACCGACCTCCTCATCATGTTGACGTCTGCTCTCTGCCACGACCTGGACCACCCCGGGTACAACAACGTCTACCAGGTCTGGACCGGGACTGGGACTAGACCAGGACTAAACCAGGTCTAAACCCGGTCTGTTTGTTGTTTCAGATCAACGCTCAGACAGATTTGGCTCTGAGATACAACGACATTTCACCTTTAGAAAATCATCACTGCGCTGTGGCCTTCAGCATCATCTCCAAGGTGAGACCTGGTCTAGACCTGGTCTAGACCTGATCTAGACCTGGTCTAGACCTGGTTTAGTCCTGGTCCAGTCCTGGTTCAGTCCTGTTTTTTTCTTGTTTTTCAGCCCGACTGTAACATCCTGAAGAATGTGACGTCTGAACAATACAAACTGATCAGAGCCGGAATGATCAAGTGAGAAACACACAACACACACACACACACACACACACACACACACACACACACACACACACACACACACAACTACATAAACAACACACATACAGAGTTTCTGTAAAATAAACCACATTCAACTGTCAAAAAGAATCAGGTGTGTTCAGGTGTGTGTTTGTGTGTGTTTGTGTGTGTTTGCAGGTGTGTGTTGTGTTTGCAGAAGTAGTTAATGTGTGTGTTGTGTCTCTGCAGGTGTACTCAGTGTGTGTGTGTGTGTGTGTGTGTGTGTGTGTGTTGTGCGTCGGCAGGTGCATCCTGGCCACAGACATGGCTCGTCACAACGAAATCCTGAATAAATTTCGGGCGATTCAGCCGACGTTCGACTTCAACAACAAAGAACATAAAGAAGTGGTAAAACATCAGAGTCTCTCACTTGTACAGCACATGTTCATTATGTCTGAGGACAGTGTGTGTGTGTGTGTGTGTGTGTGTGTGTGTGTGTGTGTGTGTGTGTGTGTGTGTGTGTGTGTGTGTGTGTGTGTGTGTGTGTGTGTGTGTGTGTGTGTGTGTGTGTGTGTGTGTGTGTGTTGTGTGTGTGTGTGTGTGTGTGTGTGTGTGTGTGTGTGTGTGTGTGTGTGTGTGTGTGTGTGTGTGTGTGTGTGTGTGTGTGTGTGTGTGTGTGTGTGTGTGTGTGTGTGTGTGTGTGTGTGTGTGTGTGTGTGTGTGTGTGTGTGTGTGTGTGTTGTGTGTGTGTGTGTGTGTGTGTGTGTGTGTGTGTGTGTGTTGTGTGTGTGTGTGTGTGTGTGTGTGTGTGTGTGTGTGTGTGTGTGTGTGTGTGTGTGTGTGTGTGTGTGTGTGTGTGTGTGTGTGTGTGTGTGTGTGTGTGTGTGTGTGTGTGTGTGTGTGTGTGTGTGTGTGTGTGTGTGTGTGTGTGTGTGTGTGTGTGTGTGTGTGTGTGTGTGTGTGTGTGTGTGTGTGTGTGTGTGTGTGTGTGTGTGTGTGTGTGTGTGTTGTGTGTGTGTGTGTTGTGTGTGTGTGTGTGTTGTGCGTCTGTAGTTGATGAAGATCATGGTGAAGGTCAGTGACATTTCCAACGAGGCTCGACCGATGTCTGTGGCTGAACCTTGGTTAGATCGTCTCCTCCAGGAGTTCTTCAACCAGGTACCTGCTCCTGTCACTCACCTGTCACTCACCTGTCACTCACCTGCTCCTGCCTCCTCCTGTCACTCACCTGTCTGCTCCTGTCACTCACCTGTCTGCTCCTGTCACTCACCTGTCTGCTCCTGTCACTCACCTGCCTGCTCCTGTCACTCACCTGTCTGCTCCTGTCACTCACCTGCTCACCTGCCTGCTCCTGTCACTCACCTCCTGCTCCTGTCACTCACCTGTCTGCTCCTGTCACTCACCTGTCTGCTCCTGCTCCTGTCACTCACCTGCCTCCTCCTGCCTGCTCCTCCTCCTGATCGTCTTCATGTTGTTGTGATGTTTCAGCTCCTCCTCCTGATCGTCTTCATGTCGTTGTGATGTTTCAGCTCCTCCTCCTGATCGTCTTCATGTTGTCGTGATGTTTGTCGCTCCTCCTCCTGATGTCTTCATGTTGTTGTCCTCTCTCCTGATCGTCTTCATGTTGTTGTGATGTTTCAGCTCCTCCTCCTGATCGTCTTCATGTTGTTGTGATGTTTCAGCTCCTCCTCCTGATCTGTCTTCATGTTGTCGTGATGTTTCAGCTCCTCCTCCTGATCGTCTTCATGTTGTCGTGATGTTTCAGCTCCTCCTCCTGATCGTCTTCATGTTGTTGTGATGTTTCAGCTCCTCCTCCTGATCGTCTTCATGTTGTTGTGATGTTTCTGCTCCTCCTCCTGATCGTCTTCATGTTGTTGTGATGTTTCAGCTCCTCCTCCTGATCGTCTTCATGTTGTTGTGATGTTTCAGCTCCTCCTCCTGATCGTCTTCATGTTGTCGTGATGTTTCTGCTCCTCCTCCTGATGTCTTCAATGTCTGCTCCTCCTCCTGATCGTCTTCATGTTGTTGTATGTTTCAGCTCCTCCTCCTGATCGTCTTCATGTTGTTGTGATGTTTCGTCCTCCTCCTGATCGTTTTCATGTCGTTGTGATGTTTCAGCTCCTCCTCCTGATCGTCTCCTCGTCTTCATGTCGTTGTGATGTTTCAGCTCCTCCTCCTGATCGTCTTCATGTTGTTGTGATGTTTCAGCTCCTCCTCCTGATCGTCTTCATGTTGTCGTGATGTTTCAGCTCCTCCTCCTGATCGTCTTCATGTTGTTGTGATGTTTCTGCTCCTCCTCCTGATCGTCTTCATGTTGTCGTGATGTTTCAGCTCCTCCTCCTGATCGTCTTCATGTCGTTGTGATGTTTCAGCTCCTCCTCCTGATCGTCTTCATGTTGTTGTGATGTTTCAGCTCCTCCTCCTGATCGTCTTCATGTCGTTGTGATGTTTCAGCTCCTCCTCCTGATCGTCTTCATGTCGTTGTGATGTTTCAGCTCCTCCTCCTGATCGTCTTCATGTTGTTGTGATGTTTCTCCTCCTCCTGATCGTCTTCATGTCGTTGTGATGTTTCAGCTCCTCCTCCTGATCGTCTTCATGTTGTTGTGATGTTCGCTCCTCCTCTGATGTCTTCATGTCGTGTGATGTTTCAGCTCCTCCTCCTGATCGTCTTCATGTCGTTGTGATGTTTCAGCTCCTCCTCCTGATGTCTTCATGTCGTGTGATGTTTCAGCTCCTCCTCCTGATCGTCTTCATGTTGTGATGTTTCAGCTCCTCTCTGATCGTCTTCATGTTGTTGTGATGTTTCAGCTCCTCCTCCTGATCGTCTTCATGTGTGTGATGTTTCAGCTCCTCCTCCTGATCGTCTTCATGTCGTTGTGATGTTTCAGCTCCTCCTCCTGATGTCTTCTGATGTTCAGCTCCTCCTCTGATCGTCTTCATGTCGTTGTGATGTTTCTGCTCCTCCTCCTGATCGTCTTCATGTTGTTGTGATGTTTCAGCTCCTCCTCCTGATCGTCTTCATGTCGTTGTGATGTTTCTGCTCCTCCTCCTGATCGTCTTCATGTCGTTGTGATGTTTCAGCTCCTCCTCCTGATCGTCTTCATGTCGTTGTGATGTTTCAGCTCCTCCTCCTGATCGTCTGTCGTGATGTTTCAGCTCCTCCTCTGATCGTCTCATGTTGTGTGATGTTTCAGCTCCTCCTCCTGATCGTCTTCATTCATGTTTCGCTCCTCCTCCTGTCGTGATGTTTCAGCTCCTCCTCCTGATCGTCTTCATGTCGTTGTGATGTTTCAGCTCCTCCTCCTGATCGTCTTCATGTCGTTGTGATGTTTCAGCTCCTCCTCCTGATCGTCTTCGTGTCGTTGTGATGTTTCAGAGCGACCTGGAGAAACGTCGTGGTTTACCCGTGACTCCGTTCATGGACAGAGACAAAGTTTCCAAACCTTCGTCTCAAACCAACTTCATCAGATTCGTTCTTCTTCCTCTTTTCTTGGAGCTCATCAAACTCTTCCCGTCGCTGCAGGTAAAACTCTCCTCCTCAGACGTTCCTCCAGGTTCTTCTTCTTCTTCTTCTTCTTCTTGTGTCCGCAGCAGCACATCCTGGAGCCGGTGCGTCGAGCTCTGGAATATTACGGAGAACTGGAGAAGAAGGATCTGCAGGACGTTCAGACCTGAAACACAGCACCACGTTAAAGCCACACTGCGGAACTTTACTCCAAACAACACACTCATGGAGTAAAAGGAGATGTGTTAGTTTTGTTTGTTTGTTTGTTTTTGTGGTTGTTGATTTTGGTTTTACTCGCTCGCGTCTCCACAAACCCGACTCCTCTCTGCTCCCGTTTCCATGGAAATGTTGTTCCTTTGCCTTTAAAATACTCCAGACTTTGGCATTAAACTCCTCCGTCTGCGTGAAGAATGTTCTGACGTGTGGCTTTAACTTTGTTTCCATGGAGTCGTGTTGATGAAACTTCAAAACTGGATTTAAATGATTGATTTATGTTTTTTTGTTCTTCATGAAACTTTTTGCCAGATTTAATAAAGATTTCAGTTTGTTCCAAATGTTTTTTTTTTTATTATTAAATATTTTCACATTTCTACTTTTCCTGCATTATTTGAAAGTTTTTGTCAAACTCCAAACCTCTGGACCAGTGTTTCCCAAACACTGGTCCACGTCCCTCAGCTGCGTCACAACAGATTTTATTTTTTGTGTCATTTTGTCCTGATCTGCAGTGATGTTCAAATCTCTCTGTACGATATTATCACGATATTTATCTCACAATACGATATTTATCATGATATTTTACAGAGGTTGATATAAATGTAGAGACTCTTTTTTGATTTTAAACAAACTTAACAAGGTTTTGGTGTGAATTATTTCTGTCATAATCCCAAGAATTCAAGTAAAACCATCTTTCTTCATGTTGTTTGTGCTGAAATGAATCATGGGAAATGTAGTTCTGATGTTTATAAACTGTTGCTTCTGTAAAACCACAGAAACCTGTGAGCTGATCTGTTGTAACGTCCATGATTTTACTTTGAGACTTTTGATGATCCGATATCACGATGTTTCAGTTTTTGTTCCATCTCTGACACGTCGTTGTGCAGTTCACACTTCTGACACGTGAGGGCGTGAGTGAGTCAGTGAGGCGTCTCCGTCCTGAACGTTTCTGCAGCTGAAGTGAGAAACGCAGCTTGTTTGTCCAAAAAGAAAAGTGATAAATGAGCAGAGGTCAGAGGACGGGAGAGACGCGAGGGACGTCAGGATCATCCAGGACGAAGCTGCGGCGAGACTCATCTGCTCTGAAGATCCACACGGACACGAGGCTTTAACGCTGTGGAGCCTCCAGAGAAGAAAAGAAAATGACCAACAAGTTCATACAAAAACTCTTTTTTGAATTATGGCTTCATAAACTGCTGGTCCTGACCTGGACGTGAGGCCAAAGTGTCGCCTGCAGAGAAAAACTGTAAACGAGTCTGAAACCGAAACTAAAGAGACTAAAGAGAACTAAAGAGACTAAAGAGACTAAAGAGACTAAAGAGACTAAAGAGACTAAAGAGACGTTCAGAAACACTGCAGCCTGAGATCCTCTGAAAGAAAAACCACAGAAGATGAGAACATCAACAAATGTTCTACACAAAAACATCACATTTTCCTATAGAGCTTTACAACAAGGACACACACACACACACATTCACACACACATTCACACACCAGTGTACGCAGACACTGTGGGCAAGGTGGGTTAAGTGTCTTGCCCAAGGACACAACGGCAGCATTCATCTGTGGGAGCTGGAATCACACCTGCAACCTTCAGACGCGTGTGTGAAGAGTCCCTCAGTCGTCCAGGTTGAATCCATGAGGAGAAAATTCAGTTTGACTGGAAAAGTTACTTTTGTCCAGTCGACAAACTGAATTTTCTCCTCATCTCCAGATCAGTGGACGAATGTTTTACCAAAGAAACATCAAATTAAATGACAAAGTCCAACTCTCCTCACACACACTTTTATTTTGTGATTTATGAATAATTTTAGTCTGTTGATGAAGGTTTGTGACTTTTAAAATACGAGTCTCCAGAAATAAAGTTTGGACTCGAGGTGAGTGTGACGTGCCTCATGTGTCTGAGTTTGAAAAGTTCAGATCCAAATGGACGTGGAGAAGATTCAAGAGTTTTTCAAGTGTTTAGTTTTTCTGAAGATGAAAGTAAACGACACAAACAGAAAACAAACCGACTCCAAACGCAGAAACAAAAACTCAAATGTGTTAAATATTAGAGTTAATGAATCAAATGTTCGACAGAATTTAAAATGATACAAATATTTCAGAATAAAAGGAAACTCATCACAACAGAGACTCGGTTTGTTCTTCATTTATTCGTTCAGTCTGTAGCAAAGTGCATTTTATCTTCAGCATAAATATTGGACAAAACGTGACAAATGTTTTTCTATTTACATCCTTTAAATAAAACACAAAAATATGGCAAAAACGACTTTAGTGTTTGACGATTCACAGGAAAAACAACAGTCAGAATATTAGAAATGTTCCAGTCAGATTCTGTCGGAGAAGAGGTGGGCGGAGTCTCGTACAGCCTCATACTGTGAACCGTAACGGAGAGATCACTAGATGACTCAGACATGGGGGGGGAGGCTCTAGAACCGGTTCAGACGGGTTTGAGAAAGAGTCCTGCACCGGTCCAGTCCCACAAAGAGTCACTGAAACCAGGCGGGTCAGGACTAAACCAGGACTAAACCAGGTCTAAACCAGGTCTAAACCAGGTCTAAACCAGGTCTAAACCAGGACTAAACCAGGACTAAACCAGGTCTAATCTTGGAGGGTGTCTGTAAAAGTGTGATCGGACGACGGTTGCGCTTTGCTCCGTGGAGCGTGGAGCCCAACGTCGGTCCTTTTGACCGCGGTCACCTGACGGTCTACACGGGCGCACCTCCGAGCCCGTCCTGACACTCAGTCCTGGTTCAGTTCTGGTTTAATCCTGTTTTAGTCCTGGTTCAATCCTGGGATCAGTCCTAGGTTAGTCCTCAGTTAGTGCCATTTTAGTTCTGGGTTAGTCCCGTTTTAGTCCTGGTTTAGTCCTGGTTTAGTCCTGGTTTAGTCCTGGTTTAGTCCCTGGTTTAGTCCTGGTTTAGTCCCTGGTTTAGTCCTGGTTTAGTCCTGGTTTAGTCCTGGTTTAGTCCTGGTTTAGTCCTGGTTTAGTTCTGGTTTAGTCCTGGTTTAGTCCTGGTTTATTCAATTCACATTTAGTGTTGTTGTTTGTTGAGGTGCATCAAAAAAATAAAGTGCTTTAATTGGAATGAATTTGTGAGTGCGGGCAGGTGCAGGTGTGGGCAGTGTGGGCAGGTGTGGGCAGGTGCAGGTGCAGGTGTGGGCAGGTGTGGGCAGGTGCAGGTGTGGGCAGGTGTGGGCAGGTGCAGGTGCAGGTGTGGGCAGGTGCAGGTGCGGGCAGGTGCAGGTGTGGGCAGGTGCGGGCAGGTGTGGGCAGGTGTGGGCAGGGCAGGTGTGGGCAGGTGCAGGTGCGGGCAGGTGCAGGACTCTGGTTTGTGATGTAGTTTGTGACTCTGGTTTGTTAAAACACGACAGAAACAGAAACAGTTTGTCTTTAAAATCAGATTGTGTCTCATTTTAGTGAAACTCCAACAGTTAAAACTGTAAATTTAAAATTGTTTTTGTAAATATTTGGCGTCTGAATCGAGTCGGGACTTTTTTTATTTCTCAAACACATTTGGCAAAAACTCGGTCAAAACTCTTCAGATCCACACGACGCCTCCGGGTCTCGTCTGCGTCTCATCCACTTTGTTTTTACACAAATAAAACCAGATGATTTTAAAACAACAAAAAGTTTCACATTTGACTTTGAATTTCACTGGATTTTTGAGAGTCGGGTCCAGTCGGGTCCAGTCGGGTCGAGTCAGGTCCAGTCGTATCGGGTCAGTTCAAGTTTGTCTGATTAACCCTGACAGAGTCAAAGTGTTGAGGAGAACAGCTCCAGTTGTGCAGGATTCACACTGAAACACGAGCAGAGGTTTTTGACACCAGGTTAGAGTTAAAGTTTCACTGCGGGACATTTCCTCACATTAGAAACACAGAGTCACAGACGAGAGAAACGACTCAGATGAAAACAGGAGCTTCAAGTCACAGCAGCAAATGAAAAAGTCTTTAAAGTCATTTTACGTTAGTGTTACACTGATGTAGTCCTGGTCCAGTCCTGGTTCAGTTCTGGTGTAGACCTGGTGTAGACCTGGTGTAGACCTGTCCAGTCCTCCTGGTGTCCTGGTGTAGACCCGGTCCAGTCCTGTGTAGACCCGGTGTAGACCTGGTGTAGACCCGGTGTGACCCGGTGTAGTCCTGGTCCAGTCCTGGTTCAGTTCTGGTGTAGACCTGGTGTAGACCTGGTCTAGTCCTGGTGTAGACCCGGTGTAGACCTGGTGTAGACCTGGTGTAGACCCGGTCCAGTCCTGGTTCAGTTGAACATGATGGACTCTGGGTCCTGGTTCATCATCTGGGCCATGTGGCGGAGCACGTCCTTCTTCGTGATGATTCCCAAAAGACGACTGAAAAAAAACAAGAAACTTTTATTAATTTACATTTAAATCTAGTCCTGGTTTAGTCCCGGTCTAGTCCCGGTCCAGTCCTGGTCAGGTTCCGGTCTGGTCCCAGTCTAGTCCTTGGTTTAGTCCCGGTCTAATCCCAGTCTAGTCCCGGTTTAGTCCCAGTTTAGTCCCGGTCAAGTCCTTGGTTTAGTCCTGGTTTAGTCCCAATTCAGTCCCAGTTCAGTCCTGGCTCATTCCCGGTTTAGTCCTTTTTCAGTCCTGTTCTAGTCCTGGTCTAGTTTTGGTTTAGTCTTGGTTTAGTCCCGGTTTAGTCCTTGTTAAGTCTTTGGTTTAGTCCTGGTTCAGTCCCTAGTCTAGTCCTGGTCTAGTCCTGGTCTAGTCCTGTTTTAGTCCCTGGTCCAGTCCTGGTTCAGTCCTTGGTTTAGTCCCGGTTTAGTCTTGGATAAATCCTTGGTTAAGTCCTGGTCCAGTCCTGGTCTAGTCCTGTATTAGTCCTGTTTTAGTCCTGTTTTAGTCCTTGGTCCAGTCCTTGTTCAGTCCTTGGTCCAGTCCTTGGTCCAGTCCTTGTCCTTGGTCAGTCCTTGGTCCAGTCCTTGGTTTAGTCCTTGGTCCAGTCCTTGGTCCAGTCCTTGGTCCAGTCCTTGGTCCAGACCCGCTCCTGGTGACGAGACACTGCCGCAGTCCGAGTTTCCTGAAGATGTCGACGACCGTCTCCATGGGCGTGTGGTCGGTGACGGTGAAGGGCGACAGGTTCAACACCCGCCGCAGCTTCAGGGGCTGAGGGTTCGACGCCGGGAGCAGAGGAGCGTCTTCAGTGAAGTAGACCACCGAGCTACTCACCACGCCGTCCTGCTTCTGACGGGCGCTCCCTGGACGACGAGACCGAGACCGAGACCGGGACCGAGGACCAGGACCAGGACCAGGACCAGGACCGGGACCGAGGAGAGAGGGAGAAGAAGAGGACGTGAACACAAAGTCAAACTCGTCTCCACGGTAACGGTTCAGTTTTGGTGTCGCTCTGGAATTTTACAAAACTAAAACAACTTTTATTTTAACACAATTTATTTACAACAAGAAACTTTACAAACCAGGACTGAACCAGGACTAAACCAGGACTAAACCAGGTCTAAACCAGGACTAAACCGGGACTAAACCAGGACTAAACCAGGACTAAACCAGGACTAAACTGGGACTAAACCAGGACTAAACCGGGACTAAACCGGGACTAAACCAGGACTAAACCGGGACTGAACCAAGGACTAAACTAGAAGAAAACTGGGACTAACCCAGGACTAAACCAGGACTAAACCAGGTCTAAACCAGGACTAAACCAGGACTGAACCGGGACTAAACCGGGACTAAACCGGGACTAAACCGGGACTAAACCGGGACTAAACCAGGACTAAACCAGGACTAAACCAGGACTAAACGAAAAAAAAACTGGGAGTAAACCAGGTGAGGTCTCGGCTCTGTATAAAGTCCTCACAATGGCGCCTGTAGTAGTTTTACAGTGGTGTTTCTTACGGATGGCGAGCGTGAGGTCTCGGCGCTGGACGAAGCCGATGAGGCGCTCAGACTCTCGGGACACGACCACGGGAAAACCGTTATAATCCGTGTCTTTGATGAGCGCCTCCACGTCCTCCACCGTCGTACTGTCCTGAGTCAAAACCGCCAGAGGAGGATCACTGCGGCGAGGACGCATCACGTCCGCCGCCAGAGTCCTACGCCACAGGACAGACGACACAGAGGAAGAGTATTATTTGGTAGTACTTGTTGTAGTACCTGTGAGTAAACTCATCTTGTACATTGAGGTACAAGTACAGAAGAAGTATTTGTACTCAGGCTCGACCGATATGGATTTTTTTGGATCTGATCCTGATAAAACAGACTTTAGAGAAGTCGACAGTCGATATAAAAGTCGATATATTTAATGATGTAAAAATTCACTGTCAATTTCCAGGTGATGATAAAACTCAGGTTTGGCTGCACTGGATTTAAACTGTTTTAGTTTAGGCGACATGTTCTTCTGTATCTTTACGTCAGATTTAATATTTGTGTATTTTTGCATCACATTCTAACCTGTAAACAAAGTAAATAAACTGTGGCTGTGAGTGTTTAGCAGTAAACATGTGTGTGCTGCAGTGATTCTATGTGTAAATTCTGATCATTCACACCTGAAGAACCAAAACACTGAGCCTCACACAGGCTCCTCCCACACCACAAGTCTGCACCAACGAGTGTCCTTTAAATCCTGACGCAAAACAGTCGTCTGGAAAAAGAATGTGTCAGTCCACCGTCTGCGGGACACTCGTCTCATACATCAAGGTATGGGTACAGTAGTATTTGTAGTATTTGTAGTACCTGTAGTACCTGTAGTACTTCATACCTGTGAGTAAACTCGTCCCGTATGTCGAGGTACGGGTACCCGTTGAGTTGGATGTGACTTTCGTAGATTCCTTCTTTCCCGAAAGCGTCGGCGACCCATTTACTGGTGACGGCCGCCGCCATCAGAGGAACGATGTACTCCAGCCCCCCGGTCAACTCGAACATGATGACCACGAGAGACACCGTCATCCGCGTAACGCCACCTACAGGAAACAGAGAGACACCGTCATCCGTGTAACGCCACCTACAGGAAACACACAGAGACACCGTCATCCGCGTAACGCCACCTACAGGAAACAGAGAGACACCGTCATCCGCGTAACGCCACCTACAGGACACACACAGAGGACACCGTCATCCGCGTAACGCCACCTACAGGAAACACACAGAGACACCGTCATCCGTGTAACGCCACCTACAGGAAACAGAGAGACACCGTCATCCGTGTAACGCCACCTACAGGAAACAGAGAGACACCGTCATCCGTGTAACGCCACCTACAGGAAACACAGAGACACCGTCATCCGTGTAACGCCACCTACAGGAAACAGAGAGACACCGTCATCCGCGTAACGCCACCTACAGGAAACACACAGAGACACCGTCATCCGTGTAACGCCACCTACAGGAAACACACAGAGAGACACCGTCATCCGTGTAACGCCACCTACAGGAAACACACAGAGACACCGTCATCCGCGTAACGCCACCTACAGGAAACAGAGAGACACCGTCATCCGTGTAACGCCACCTACAGGAAAACACAGAGACACCGTCATCCGCGTAACGCCACCTACAGGAAACACACAGAGACACCGTCATCCGTGTAACGCCACCTACAGGAAACACACAGAGACACCGTCATCCGCGTAACGCCACCTACAGGAAACAGAGAGACACCGTCATCCGTGTAACGCCACCTACAGGAAACACAGAGACACCGTCATCCGTGTAACGCCACCTACAGGAAACAGAGAGACACCGTCATCCGTGTAACGCCACCTACAGAAGAGAGAGAGCAGCTCAGTGACCACGAGAGCGCCGGTCATCCGCGTCACGCCCCTTCACGTTGTTGGAACAGTCTGTAGTTCATAAACAGCAGCGGCGGTGTTTGTACCTAAACAGGCGGCGGCCCCGACCATGGCGTAGAGTCCGGGGGTCACGCAGTCGGCCCCGGGGCGACACCAGCTCCTGAAGATGATCCAGTCGTGGTGGTGATAGGCCATCTGCTCCACCGCGATGCCCACGATCCGCCCGGCGATCGCCCCCACCGCCATGCTCGGGATGAACAGCCCCGACGGGATCTGAAGGGGGGGTGGGAGAGGATAGAGAGACGTTCTTAGAGTTGGACGTGTTCACAGCTCAGATCGTGTCACCTGTTGGAGTTCAGATAAATCAGCTCTTTCTGCTCAGACTCTGATTAAAGTCTAAAGCTGCGTTCAGACCAGAGCGTCAAAAATCACCCTGACGCCTCGAGTTTGACCTTTAACATCTGGGTTCAGACGCCTCAACGCTCGACTTGGACACATGGACCAACGAGAGAAAAATACTCGACATGTTTGTTGCACTGGAAACAAGTGACATTTCCCGTCTTTTCCTGTAACGATGGACCAGACTGAGACTTTAATGTTTTTATTAAATATTATAAACCATCAGAGGAGGAGATGTGTTTATATTTATTCTCCTCTAATGACTCGGTGTAGAGTTTCTTGTTCTGGTGTTTGTGGTTCTTGGGTCTTTTTCTTTCTTCTTCTTCTGGGTAATAACGTCGCTACATCTCTAGATACTTGTCCCTGATTGGTTGACGTGGCGACGCCACCCGACGCCATAACTTCAGCATTTTAACCTTCTGACGCTGACTCCCTGGACTCTCTTCCAGAGCGTCGACGCCTGAAGATGCACCACAAACACACAGGACGCCCCAGACCAGCAGTGGGCAAACTTTTTGACTCGTGGGCCACAAAAGGTTCTAAAAACATTTATGGAATCAGTTTTAACATTTTCATTGGTCTCGTGGTTCGGGAGCATTTCTGCTAAAAACAAGAACTGAATCAGTTAAATGGGCGAGTAGGTGATTGTTCCTCCTCAGAGCCGCTGGACTCGAGACACTTACAGACGACGTCCCAGAGGATTTTAAGAGACGTGAACAACATCCACTGAACTCAGAGTTTCAGCTGCTTCTCTCTGGTCTGAGGCTTTTAGTCCCAACATCTAGAACGAATCATTTTAAAAGGAGCTTCGTTCCGGCTGCTGTCGAACTTATGAATAAAGTGTAATCTGTTTATCTAAGATTGTGTGTTTTTAACATATTTAATATTTATTATGATTTTAGACAAATGTGGTGGATGATTTTAATTGGTTGTTTATGGAACAAATCGTTCTGCACTGGAGCAATGTGACACTTTATTTTGTAATTTTGTTTTTATATGTGTTTTGTGGATGAATGAAATGTGAAATGTGGAACCTGCCGCTCAAATCTGCAAAGCAAATTTACCTACAGGTACGAATAAAGCGACCGAACCTAAAATTTGACAGAAGAGCTGGACCAGGAGCAGACGGACGAAGTGTTTTGGTGAACCACCTCATGGGATATTTAGAAAATCTGAGCTTGAATTTCAATTGAAAATCATTAAAAAGAATAATTTATTCAAGTTCAGTGGGCTGGATTAAAAGGATTAAAGAGCTGTAGTTTGCTCGCTCCTGCCCCAGACCCGCGGCCACACAGACTCTGGTCTGAACACAGACGAGCTCCAGACAGAGACGTGCCTCCTGTTAGCGTCACACCAGAGGATAAAGTCAATCTAAAGTAAATACAGATAAATAAAGGTGTTCTCTCAGTTGTACCTTCATGCCGAAGGTGAAGATGGTGATGAGGATCTTGAAGGCGAGGGCGAGCGTGAGCTGCCACAGGGCGGCGTAGACCCCGGGACCCGCCGGGCGGTCGGGGATGTCGTCGAGCGCTCGCGTGGCGTTGTTGCTGTTCACGTAGTCGCAGAGTTGAGACGACTCCAAGGCGCCGCAGTCGTTGAACAGCTCCGAGATCAGCTGAGACGTGGAACGACGCGTGTACGGGTTTGGATACGCCAGGAGCGCCGTCACGCCCGTCACCACCAGAACCTGACGAGAGACGACAGAGACCACAGACCGGGACTCAGACCAGGACTGAGACCGAGACTGAGACCGGGACTCAGACCGTGAGACCGAGGAGACCAGAGACGAGACGACTCAGACCGGGACTCGACCGGACTCAGACCGGACTCGAGACCAGACCGAGACTGAGACCACAGACCGGACCACAGACCGGGACTCAGACCGGACCGACTGAGACCGAGACCACAGACCGGGAGACTCAGACCGGGACTGAGACCGGGACTCAGACGGGACTCAGACCGAGACTCAGACCGGGACTCAGACCGGGACTCAGACCGAGACTCAGACCGGGACTCAGACCGGGACTCAGACCGGGACTCAGACCGGGACTGAGACCGAGACTGAGACAGGACTAAACAGGACTAAACAAGGACCTGACCACAGAGGACAGAGAGACCGACCAGACCGGGACTCAGACCGGGACTGAGACCGGGACTCAG